AGATAGTTACTATCTGGCAAACCTACATCACAAGGAAGAAAAATACTATGATTAAACATAATAAGACTTCACTTGAAATGTAAATACTCTGGAATAAATCCTGCCAACTCGCGTAAGAACCGGCAAACAGGAAGCAGCTGACTATGCAATAAACCCCATCACACAGGGAAAACACGACATTAGAGAACTAGATGCTACCACACACTGTGCTGCAGAGTGCTTTCTGTTGCCTGCTTTCGAAGCGCATGAGGTTCAGTCCTTCTAGCTTCTGCTCACAGTGCAGTACTTCTTGAATTTTGAGCCAGCTAACAGGCACCTATTGTCCAAGCAAAACATTGTCAGCCTTCTGCAAATTCTCACAGAGATGAGCCAGTGGCACTGCCAGCTCAAGTAGGTTCTGTCAATATTCTTTTCTAATATTTTCCAACATTACACTCCTTCCACAGCTGAGTCCTAGGTTGAGATTAGCTCAACAAGAGACAAAAATAAAGAGCTTGCACTTAATGGTTTCCTCCCTGAAACTGTAAGCACTGAGCGTAGTCTTATTACAGCGGGGATAAGGGGCTCTCTCTATCCCATTACATAGATGAGATCTCAGACTGCATAAAGATCATTCAGTATGAAACATGCTATGCGGAAATATATTACTGCCACGAATGTGAACTCACAAGTAAAAAGAAGTTTTGGCTTCTAACCTCTTGAATGTCTTCGCACTTGAGAGCTAGTGTTGAACCTTTCCTAACCCTTCAGTTATAGCTTGTACTACATAGTTTAAAACTTGACTTTCAACTTTCAATAATCATTTGCATGTATGTATCTTCAAAGAATGGTATTTGATTTGCAACTATGTGTTGTAATGAGAAGCTAATTAACACAAATATGGTTATGAGCAAGTTACAGACACTTACAGGACAAAAACAGCAGACCAAAGCCTATGGCATACTGTGTCACAGGGATAGAGAACCTCAAGGATGAACTAATACCAGCTAAGACTGCCACTAACTACATTACCACAGGCAAATCGCCGACACTCTACAACTCTGTTTCCCCTTCTGTAGTGGGATAGGAAGATTCGTTTACTTTGTGGGGTAGTTCTCCAGCTTAATTAAATCATTACCTTTAAATCAAAAGCACTACAGAAATGCCAGGAAGTAGCGTCTGAATTAGAACGTGGAGGTGACACCCTAATGAAGCAAGACTATTTCCATCGTCAACAGCAGGCGCAGTAAAAGGTCATCCATGGCATAATTGTGAAACCACATTCCAATCTTCTGAAGGTAAGATGACTTTTCCCAAAACTTCATTAAGGAAGAACGTATGTCCCAGCATCACCGGATGGCCGAAATGCTGTAGTTTCACAGGGAATCTGCAATGGTTTCACGACTGCTAGTTTCCCTTTTCCTTACTCTTTGCTTTCCTAATAGCAGCAAAATATCACGGCTCTTGAAAGAATGCTTTTTCCACAGGCAACTGTTTTCGGTATGATCAAAGACCCATTAAGAAAATTGCAGAGGATCATTTCCCTTCAAGTCAGTAATGTTCAGCACAGTTTTCAATCTTTTCTTTAGAAGAGCCACACTAGAGGCACTCCCATGTTTAGTCTGGGACAGCTTCTCCCAAATATCATTATATTTTAACATTCCCCATACACACTGGAAATATACAGCTCTGCGTAAACATAAGGACATTATTGAAATGTCCACTACTACTGTGCAAGCTTTTTATTTTTAAAGTATTGAAATAAACTTGTTCTTAAACCATAAGAAGCAGGCCAGTCCTCAGTGGAGGCCCAGTTGCATCATGCATTCCCAAAAGAGCTGCAACTTCGTGTCAAGTGTGAAGCTAGGTATATCCCGTATCTCAGAAACTGCACTCAAGTTCTGTCATCGAATGTCCAAGGCACATCCCATCCTAAACTCATTTAGTCCATGCTGGGAAATCATTAAACCAAAACCAGGGAAACAGGCAGCTCCTTCCTTGCTTGTTGCACCTGAAAAAAGATTACCCAAGAACAACTCATTATATGCAATGCCTTTGTATCCAGAGTGTAAACACCAAGAAATACCACACTTGTTTATTTTTTAGCTATGCAAAAGCATTTGCTTTTTACTTTTAGGAGTAAGATGTGCTATCGGAGAGATCAGCCTAGTTCTTTCTACTACATAAAGTTCTCCTTGCGATGACTGGATGGATATTATCTAGATTCTGTGTGCTTATGTTAGAAAACAGTGGAAAATACCCAGGGAATTACACTGGGAACACAGAACTCCATATATGATCTTTTCTTCTACTGACTAAATATATACTTGCATATACTTATTATATATATACACACTAAATATATACTTGCTTTTTTATATACTTGGCATTTGTGACCAGGAAGACCAAAATGATTGCAACCAAGTTTTCAAGTAAGATAGAAGATGTACTTGTAGTATTGTGCCTATACAACTAGATTCTCTGTTTGCTTATGTCCGTCTGTCAGCTGCCTACTGACCTGAGTCCGCTGACCTGCTTTTGACTAAATGTGACAGCGGGAAGAAGTCCCAAAGCTCCCAACACTTTCATTTAAAAAGAAAAAAAAAAAAAAAAAAAAAGGTTGGGTAGAGGAGGGACTCTTGTAAGACAAGAAGAGCAGGGTTAATGACAAAGGTCAACTCTTATTTGACGTCAGAGAACCTACAGGAGAGGATCACCCTAGAGACACAAATTCTCAGGAACCAGTTTCCATTGGTCCTGCTGCTCTTCTAACATTTGTTTTGAACAGAACTGGAACCAGAAATTAATTCCAGTTCTCACAACAGTTCACTGGCCCTAGGTAAATCATAACTTCTGATGCTACTTCCCCTGCTGTAACATGGCTAGTGTTAAATTCCCTTATTACGCTGCTGCAACAATTCATATTTGAAATGTACTTTGAAGGTCTGAAGAGTTGTATTCACTAATTATTACCTGTCTTGAGACATGAGCTGAATATTCAAAGTGCTAGCTTGATTCATATGCAAGCGCACATCACATAAGCATGTGGTATGCACTAAGACTCAAAATATAAAAGCAAAGACTGCTTTTCAAGAAGACTTTATAATAAAGTCAGTTTTGAACTCAAAACACATCATTTTTATTGCCACAACTCTTGTATTAGAATGGATTTAAATTATTCCTTGTTTTGGATTAACACTTTATAAAACACCAGTCTGAAAAATAAATACCAATTGACAAAAGACAAAGATCATGCAAAATTCGATTCTGTCCCCAAAGGAAAGCCTGATGTCTGAGCTCTTAAACCTTCGATATCAAGCTGAATGCTAACAGGTAAGTTCCACAGGGCAGTCACTGAGCACCGTAAACCGAGAGTTTATCATAGAAATACTGGCAATCGTAGCATTGGGACTAGCAATACTGCACATCACAGTAGGCAGGCATTTCTATCCTCTGTTTGGTCAGGCACTCTCCAGCCTTCCCAGAAACGAGGATGCTTCTCCCTCCCTTGGCCAGAGCATCCCATGCCTTCTGCTCTTGCAGGCAGAGAAATCAGATGACAGAGGTCTTGCTGAGAGTACCAGAGCAAATAGGTGAACAAGATAGTGATTTTTTAAAAACAAAAAGTGTGCAGGAGGCAGGGGATAGCTTCCTGAAAAGGAATCTTTCCATGCATTAAAGGAAAATGGTGCTTTGTGGTATAACTCTCTACTAGAGAGATTCCTACAAGAGGGTAAGGAAGCAAACTACAGTCTCCTTCTGTAATAAAAGATCAGCCTTGTATCTTCAAGCTTCCTCCTGTAATACGCTTACTACCAACCAATTATTCAATAGTCCCCGACACCGGGGGGGGACATTTCCTGACTGAGCAAGCCCTGCCTAAAAAATAATAATAAAAAAACCCCACAACCGTGTCAGCTAAATTTTCATTCTAACCTTCCCCATCTCTCTACCCCAGACAAAACAAAGCCAACCTGGCCAACTTATTCTGACAACAGTGCTTAGATTTATGTCCCTTGCACTCTATTACTGCCCTACAAACATATATTATTTTAATGTGGTATAAACAAATATCTGATTTGTTTAACGCCACACTGAGTCCTAGTGATTAAAATATGCATATGCATAGGGCAAAATCTATACATTAACAAACCCCTTTATAAGCTCTGAAGATAAAATTATCAGTATTGCTAAATACAGAATATGTATTATATTTTAATTACATGAGACAGTTGAATACCAACAAGTCTACTTCATTTCTAATTAGAAAAAGTTCAGTAATCATCTTCTTCCCTGCTGTTACTGCCTGACAAGAATAAATGAAGAGTCCCCTCTAGGGACTGTACAGTAAACATCCGAACACACAGTTGCTTCGGAGCCGAGCTCTACATTAGTAGCAATTACCGAGGCGCACGGTGTCTTTCGTGATGGTAAAACGCATCCGTCACGGAGTGCGTGATTTCAAACCGTTTACCTCCAGAAAACAGACGCTTGGCGAAGGGGGAGGCGGCGGAGGGGGAGCTCTGCGGAGCGGGACCCTCCCCGCCAAGGGTCGGGCTGGGGGGGCTCCGCGCAAACAAAGCGGGGGTGAGCGGCTGCAGCGCGCTTCGCACCCCCGGAGAGCCAAGTGACCGCGCTCCCCCGTGGCGCAGCGGGCTGCGTGGGTCCGGCCGCGCCTGCACCTGCCACCCGCAGCACCGGTACCCTTCCCGGGATCGGTAACGCTTCTCCCATCAGCCCGCAAAGCCACCGAAAGTATCGCCGGTCCCTTCTGACGAACCCCCCAGCCAACCACCTCCTCCGCCATCCAGCCCGGACAAACAAAGGCCACCTCCTTTTATTCTCGCCCAAATTCGGACAAACTAGAGAACAATACCGCAGGGTCTGCACAATGGGCACCGGCCGCACCACGTCCCTGCCGGCTCGCTCCAGCCCAGGCACGGCGAACCGGAGCCCCCCGGGAGGGGGGACACACACACACAGGCTGTCCCCGCCGCGGCAGCGCCGAGGGGTGCCCTCACCTGCCACCGTGTACCGGTCCAGGTAGTTGAGCACGTTGCCCACGCTGAGGATGCCGGCGGCCGCCACCCGGGCCCGGCCGAGGCTCGGCGCTTTGTGGCGGGCGGCCGGGCGCTCGGGGTGCTTGCCGGCCGCCGGCGGGTTCATCCTGCCGGACAGGGTCTGCACCTCGCCCTCGACGCCCCGGCCGCAGCAACCCCGCTCGCCGTCCTCCTCTTCCTCCTCGTCGCCGGCACGGAGCCGCCCGCCGCAGCCCGGGCTGCTGCCGGAGGAGCCGTCGCTTTCCAAGCACATCATGGGGCGGCTGCGGGAGGGCGAGGGCGGCGCGCAGGGCCCGGCGCGGAGGCACCGCCGGTGCGCGCTCAGCGCCGCGGCCGCCCCAGCCGCCTGCCCGCGGGACCGGCCGCCGCCGCTGACAGCTGCCCCGGCGGGGCGGGGCCGCCCGCAGGCTCCGCCCACCCCGCCACAGCAGGCTCCGCCCACCCCCGCCCCGCCCCAGGGCCCCCGCGCAGCCGCCCGCGCTCCCTCCCCCGCCCCCCCGCACCTCCCTCAGGCCGCGCCTCAGGGCCGGGCCCGGGCCCGGCGGTTCGGCCTTGCCGGCGCGACGGGGCTGAGGGAGCCGTTCCCTCGGTTGGGTGCGGGACCGCGGGCTTAGAACACGCCGAGGGGCAGAACCGTGTAGTTAGCTGGAGAAAAAAAAACCCAAAAAAAAACAAAAAAACAAAAACACAAACACCCACACCAAACAAACTACCCGAAAACAAAACAAAAAAACACCTAACAAAAACAAGCACTTGAGCTTGTATCCAACACTAAACTCCACACAAGTCACGCAGGCCCACCCTCAGATAAATCTGTACCAAAAAAATAACAAGATCTCATTGCCTACTTTCAACCGCCAGAACCACCCACAGCCCCCCAGCCTGCTGTGGGGAAGGGACGGCACCGTGAGGCACTGCCAACCTCGCAGCTCCCTGCTCGGCCCCAGAAGATTTTCCCATCACGCCGAAGTTGCTTCAGGAGCAACATGCATCTTCAAAGGAAGTAAAATTGCTCCAAAGTTTCCCCCCACTGGAAACAGTTTCATCCCACTCCCTGTAAAGTTCCACCTTTGAGCTAAGGATGGCCAGGAGAAATTTCATTTCAAAAGGAGAAGTCTTCAAAGAGATAAAAGTGTTCACAACCAGAGTGGCTCCAGCCTGTCGTACCTGTAGTAAAACTACAAAAGCTAACTAAAAACAGAAAAATAAGACGACTGCTAGAAAGCTAACATGCACTTGTTGAAAAACAGTACCTTACGATTTCAGATTCTGTGTTTGTTGATCTTACCTATGAAACTGCATCATGATTAAAGCATTTGTCTCCAGGATATACACTGAAACAAAACCCCCGCCACCCACCTGTGAGGAAACCGGAGTTGCTCAGAGCACAATGTGGTGTGTGTGTGCTCAGCGTACCTGGCTCTGTCACACCCTTTCCACAGAGCTGCCGCCGATGACACCGGGGCCAGACTATGCCGGTAATCCGGTGAGAGGCTGCACAAGGAACCCCCGGGATTCGGCCGGTGAAAAGGGCACTTTCTGGTGACTCAGCGTGCGATTCGGTGCTGTTCGAGCAACGTGACGTTGAGGAAAGGAGCAAGAGTCCCACGACACTCCCAAATAGTGGTAACGTTTTTATGTTGCCCATAGGTCTGCACAGACGTTCTGGAGCTAGTTTCGGTAACAGAAACAACATAGCTGGATTAACACGGGATAATCTTCTGGTTGACTTGTCAAAGTCTAGGGAATCATTTTTTTTACTCCCATAGCAGCATCTGCAGTTCAGATGCGACTGACTGGTAAAGGTTATACTAACAAACAAAACTGCTTCTTCACATTCCCACTAATTTCAGAATTCAGGTGGTATAAATAATGCAGTCAAGTGACAGTGTTCACCCAGAATATTATATAGCCCAAAAAGGAAAAAAACAAAAACAAAAACCAACCACGAAAACAACAGGGTAGAATTGAAAAGAGGGGAAAAAAAAAAAAAAAAAAAAAAAAGGTAAAAGAGAAGGGGAGGGGTGGGAAGAGGAAAAAAGGAAGTAAAATGGCTTCAAAAAGACCACACAGCTTGCCCAGCAGGGGAGACAAAACTCGTGTGTCCTCTAAGTTAGGTATATCAGGCCCTAAACACAGCTGAACTACAGGTTCAAGGAGTTCCACAGAGAGCAGCCAAAGCATCCAGGAGCCCTCAAATGTTTATGGTCTGCTCCAGAGTCTATGCCACTGTTTTTTTTGTTGTTGTTTTGTTTTGGTTTTGTTTTTTTTGTTGTTGTTGGGTTTTTTTGTTGTTGTTGGTTTGGTTTTTTTTTTTTTTTTTTCACTGCTTGGGCTACCCCTGGGCTTTGCACATAGAAAACAGTGTTCAGAAGATGTTAATGAGATTAAAAGGTAAGGCAAAATTAAAGACCTTAGTCCTGTGGATCAAATGGTTCCCCTGAAAGCAACTAAGCACAGTTTTCTTAAGAAACTGAAGTTTAATTCAATTTCTTTCTTTTCACTTGTAACCAATACCAAGCACACAAACACAGCTGACAATTAAACCAAGGTGGCTTAATGCACATGAAAATAACTGCCTAAAATGTCTGGGGAGTGACTTCTCCAAATCCCCAAGAGAAATTAGCCCAAATACCAATTTACTACTAAAGAACAACATATATGCTCTGAAGTTTGGGCAGGCTTCTGATGGCCATCAAATACGGAGCAATGCAGGACAAAGCTGAACGGACTGGCAAGAGCGTCCTTTTATTTCTCACACGGAGAGGAGTTTCAGCTCAGAGACATCTACAGACAGCACAAAGGGGCATTGGGTAGGCGGTCAGTTATTCAGGGTCTTACAGCAAACCTTAACACCTTCAGCTGTGCGTGGAAACTCACGTACAAACACAGCAGATGCCAGTGCATCCATGTCATGAGATTTATGTAAAGGAAAAGCGAAGGGAACTGGAAAAAATGTGATGGAATTGGCTTTACTGGCAGGATGATTCATATGACTGAACTGCTAAAATCACTGGTTACTGCCTCTTAAGAGAAACAGTAGATTCTAGCTTAGAGACATTGCTGGGTTTTGCTGTTACAGGTTGTTGAGAGGCAATTTGATTACAGTGTGCAAGTTCTATCGTGGGGAGAAAAATGCCAGTTCTAAGAGCTCTAATCAAGTGGGAAAAGGCATAGCAAGGACCAGAACAATGGCTGAGAGCTGGAGTTAGAAAAATCCTAATGAATCATCTGTCCCACCTTTGTTACAGAGTGATTATCATCTGGAACAAAATGCTAAAGAAGGGGTGTATTCTCTGTTCCTTTATGTCCTTGGATCCAGGTTGATTGCCCTTCTAGAAAGTGCCTTTTTGAACTCAAACGCAAGCTATTGCACTCCACGCAGAGGGAACTGCCTATATGATGATATGGGGGGTCAGATTAGATGGGTTAAAAGTCCCAACCCTGAAGACACCAGTTCTTACTCTGCTTACCAAACACACAGTATTTTCTGCACTCACTTCAGTCACTAGACTGATCTGAGCATAGCCCCTAGGAAAGCACATTATGCCAACCTAATCTTGAAATGGTGATTACAAAACAGTAGTGTTCTCGTGGCCGTGGTGATTGAGATGGGCAGCATCATTCTTGATACTGGTGATACTGCGTTCTGGCTAAAAGCTAGGAACCTGCCTCACACTGGGAACACTACCAGGAGGTGTGTAGATATAATTAAAAGCAAGTCTGAACTTATCTAGCTCATCGTTCTGCTTCTTCCTGATTATGCATGTCACCTCTGCTCCAGAATGAGCTCTGGACAGTTTCTAGATTCCAGATAACAGATATTAGCTAGGGATAAGAGAATCAGCAGCCTTTCTGCAGACAAGTAATGTAGCCTTGGGCACATCTCTAAAGGCACCTCAGCCCATACCCCATCACTGTCTTGTCCCAGTGGCCTCAAACACAGATACGCTGCCCAGATGAGACCAAGTGAAACCATGCACAAGTCCTTAACCATGCTCTGCAAAAAGGCACTTGCAGACATCTTGCTGAGTGTTCAACAAGGTAAAAAACAAATTCACTTGTTAGTAGCCCTGCTCTCTCCCAGTGCAGTCAACAGAGCTTATCCCTTCAGGGATCATTTTCTTCCATTTGCTATTTTGTTAGTGTCTTAAAAGCTTGAAAACGTTTATTTTATTTTATCCTAACCTGCACGTATTGATTTTTCCCCACATCCAGAGTTCTAGAGGTGGCCAGTATCAGCAAAAGCATTTCTGTTTGACAACAGCTATAATTTATCTTTGCAAAAACAAAACCAGATTTGCCAGCGCACCAATATTACCTACAGTGACATAGTTCAGTACCCGGTCCATGGGTTAGACCTGGCCTACAGGAAGTTCATGACCAGCCTGCCACCTTCCCTCCCAAGGGGCGATGGCTGATCTGCTGGTGCTAGGTGCCAGCAACTGCCTTCTCCCTCACCTCCTTCCCCCTTGCCAGCTCTTTCTGTGAGGGAAAGGGAGGAGGGGACTGGTGGGTTGGACTACCCGTGCAAGGCAAAATGCAGACCTGAGCCCTGTTGACAACCAGGTTGGACCTTACCTAATCTAAGTAATTACTGCAGCTTGAGGAACTAAACCATCAAGAGGGCATCATGTTGCCGTTTTGAAAATAATGAAAATTAAAAGAAAATACCTTTCCATCTCTAGCCTAGCTTACTTAGAATCCAGATTCCTCCTTCAGTTAATAAAAATCCTGGAAAAATCACTTTTTGTATTTCAAAAAAGTCACAGTAATCTCTAATATACAACTGTCAAAGGACTAGAGTCTCTGAAGTAACACTTTGTCAAAACGTACACCAGTCTAGCCACCACTATTATCAAGAGCAGAAACCACCCACAACAGTCTTACCATGTTAGAGTGTAAATAACTACGACTCAGAATTACTTTTGTCCTTTTCCCATATTTTGCTTAATCTGGTCCAAAATCAGGAGCCAAACAGAACACCAAACTACAGGAGCACAAACCCTGCAGTTTAAGTTATCCAGATAGAAGCCTTAACCTGACCAAATATTATGAATAGTTACATCATCAGGTGGTCTTCAAGGCTGCAAGAGCAAGACACAGGACAACAACAGAACCCTCTCTAGCCCTACCCATTCTTGGACTTCAGATAGATTGCAGCTCTGCAAGAACAAGAATCACAACCCTCCAATTACACACCTATGTCCCCATTATGCCCAATTTATCTCCTGACTTCTTTTTTCTTCAGAAAATTATTAGCTGAATTATCCTGTTACTAACAGTTGAGACTGCACAGCAGCATTTACAAGCTCAGAGGTTTCTGGTGTAAGATACTGTGCCAGGGAGACCTGCTGAGCATCAAGCA